TAAAGAATTTGTCTACCTGCAGAACAGCCCCTGACACTGCAGAGCGGGTGGTGCTTCACCCCTGCTTGTGATGGAGGCGGATCTGGGGGAGGAGAGGATGCTGTTTCCTGTTCACATTTGGGTGTAGACTCAGAGCTGATCCTGAGTGGCCATACTGATGCAAAGGCAAAGAACGAGTGGGTGTATCAGATCTGTAGAAACAGTAATAGTAACCATCATATTTCTTAGATTTTAACGTGCTCATTTTATATGCCGCCTGAATTATGAATGCATTTTGCTACACTTGCATGCACTTGTTATGTTAACATTGCAAGTTAACAGTGGTCTTATAATTCAAGGTGTCAAAGATCCTGGAGAATCTCCTTAGCTGGTCTTCGAGTTCTGGATATTTGATGCAATTAGAACATTCCAGAATCATGAACCTCAGCTACAATTTCAGTCTGCATGGTGCTATCTTGATTCAGACAAATCAGGAAGTTATAAAACTGTTTATTTTCATACAAGCAACTGCCTCATATATAGATAAACTAAAATACTACTAAAAATATACAAAGTAAGATCTGTGTATGGCTGACTCCATTTTTAAAATCTTGATTTGAGTTCAAAGGCACCATCACTTTGGGAAAACAAGTCATGTGCACTGACATTATTCCACCTCACAGGCTAAAAATATTTCACTAGGCCAAAAACCTGAATGGTGCTTATGGGCAATTTATTTCTCACACGGGCTTGGGGAGAATCAGAAGGAAAAGTGTCATTTGTGACCCAGAGAGAGTGAAGAAAGGAAGGGAGCTGTGAGGTGGGAAGCTGTGCTCACTGACTAGAGAGCCTGTGTCCCTCATTGGCTCTGGGTGTCCTGTCGGCCGTTTTCTTTGAGTTTTGTCCTCGCTGTTGCTTTGTTTTCTTGGGCATGACATCTGCTTCTCTGGCAGGTCACCCTCTCCCCTGCCCCAGCCCAGGCAGTGTGTGGGCTTCATGCTGACTTTCCTGTGTGTGTGTGACTCCATGGTCTTTTGCTGCTTTTCTCATGCCTTTCTTTATGATGTTTCAGCTCATCCGCCATACACCATGTGCTTTAGAGTGAAATTCTACCCACGCAAACCCTTGAAGATTAAAGAAGAGCTCACCAGGTATTTCCCATTTGTTTGTGAGTTTAACGTGCCCCTCTGCCCAGCTTGGGTTTCTGAGTTTCACAGGCCAGACGAGCTCCTGCCTAGAGCTGAGCACCACAGTGAAGCAGGCATCCACTCAGCATTCAGGCTTGGAGCGTTTCTCTTGCACTTAATTGTCTTGGGATTTTTCAAACGGTTCTCATCGGGAGTGTAAATAACTGCACAGGAAAGCAGTGGTTATAAGGAGGAGGTCCTCTCTGAAAATGTCTGACAGCGGGATTGTAAAAATAAACAGAAAGTGACTCCCTAGGATATGGGCAAATTCCTAGCTAGTGCAGCCCTAGGGCCTGTCTTTTGGGTCTAAGCTTCTCTGGGAGGGAAAACATCCCCTGGTGGAATGGACTGTTTGTCATCCACATTCCACTTGCTAAGTGAGCCATTGTAGGAGGGCCGGCTTCCCTCTACCTGTAGACTCAACTCTCAGCATTTTCCAGTCCTCGGGCCTCCTCCCTTCTCCTCTCCCTCTGCTGGGGCCACGTTCAGTCCACTTTCTGGGGGTTTTGTTTCTGTGAACAGCCTCAGCCAATGCAGCTGAGCAGGGTCCTGGGAGGGCTACCACAATGGCTGGAGAAACTTTTACTCTACCATTTTTTTTTCCCAAATGTACATCATATTTCGAATTCTGTGTACATTACATCATGTTCACCACCCGAACACTAATTATGGTCCATCCCCTCACGTGTGAGCCTAACCACCCCTTTTGCCCTCCCCTCTACCCCCTTCCCCTATGGTAACCACCAGTCCAATATCCAATGCTATGTGGGTTTTTTGGTCGTTGTTTTTATCTTCTACTTATGATTGAGATCATATGGTATTTGACTTTCTTGGCTGGAGAAGCTTCCATGTGTGCTTAGTTCTTGACGAGGCTCCCATCAGGTGACGGCAAAGATCACTGTGCATAGTCCTCTCTCAGAATACTCTGCGTGGGTCTGAATGCCACAGAGAAGCAAATGCAGTTTGCTCTGATCGTCAGTTGCAGAGGGATGTGTTGGGTCTGGGATATTTTGCTTTCTCGTTATCCATGAGCATCCGGTAAAGCTTGACCCTAGTGGCACTGAGGTGACGTTGGCAGGGAGCAGATGGTTCCCTTCTCTACTATTAATTCGCGCACGGACATTGAGTGAGGCTGGTGCTTGGGGGCGGGGGCAGGCTGTGCATGTGGAAGGAGGGACACGTAGATGGTGGACATCAGGAGTGGTGTTGATATTTTGCAATCTGGCCAGCTTGCTTTCTATTTAATTGAGGTAAAATTCACATAACATAAATTAATTTCACCAATTCAAAGTGTCCAATTCAGTGGCATTAAGATCATGCACAGTGTTAGGCAACCATCCCCACTATCTACTTCCAGAACATTTTCTCGTCACCCAAAAAAGACACCCCAAAGAGACTCTGGTTCTGGACATTTCATAGAAATGGAGTCATACAGTACGTGGCTTTCGCCTGCTATTTCCTTGAAAAATTTACTCGTTTATTTCATAAGTTCCTCGTCACTTCCTACTATCTACACAGCCCAGGGGCGGGGGCTGTATGAGTGACAAAAAAAAAAGAGAGAGATTCATCCTGCCCTCTGGGTGCTGACAGTGTGATTAGGAAGATCAAATCAAATCCAGACTAATGCCAGGCATTATTTTGTCAGGTCCCCAAACAGCTCACTTTTCTCATTTGTTTTCTTTAAAATCTTATCTGGAAGATAAAAGTTGAATATATGTCACAATATAAATTAAGGATGGATCTTTTATTGTTGAGAAGAGTCTCATTTGAAACTGAGTACAAAGTTTTATTTAATCACCCTGGTTAAACCCCTCTCAACTAAATTTACTGGCATTTTCCTTCATTTGACTAAATAGCTAAGGTATGAGTACTAGAAAATTGCGAACATTTTTTTTCCTAAGACAATTAAGACAATGCCGTGTCCTTGCACAGGTAGAAATGGACTTTTGTTATTCAACACAGTCCTTAGAATTCAAAACGAATCTAGAATCTGTGGAACAGACCTCATACTTATGGTTTAAACCCCATCTTGAAAGTGTTTAGTTTTTCTCTTTCGTAAATTGTAAATTTATTGTAAGATTAATCTAAAATCTAAGAAGAATTTAACATGTGAGAAATTAAAACCACATTCATGACCATGCTTAGGGGTAAAGACACATTGAGAAAAGGTTGGTTTAAAAGAAGAAAACAACAAAAATACATTTATCTCTCCATTTGTGGGGGGTTTGTAAATGCTATATAAATCTGAGTGTAATCAAAGTATGCTGGTTTTCCTTTTATAGTAAGAACCATCTTTGAATTCAAACTAGGAGAAAAGCAAAATCATTAACAGTGACACAAAGATGTAGGCCCCAGATCCTCTTGTGATTTTGTTCCTTAATCCTTTCATGCAAGAGTGATACTAAAGCAAGATGCAGAATTATTATTATTTTGGGTGGGGTGGCTATTACATTAAAAATGAGCATCTGAACATGAAGCCATTTGTAAGGCACAGTGATTATGCTGAATCCACAATAACCCATGGTCATCTCTAGAGAACACTGATATGAGCAGGGACCTGTGCTTGGATGTTGTGAAAGCTGATTTTGTTTTCTCAGGAAGCTTTCTTCAAACTTGATTTCTGAGTTATGTGATTAGAACTCAAACTTCTCGTTCATCAGTAAATAGTTATTTGAATCTATTTTTCCCTACTAGACTCATCAAAGAGTGGAAAGGAATGCTTTTATGTTCCATGCATACATTCAGCAAGTAGAAAAGAAACCCCCTGGCCTTTGGCCTGAGTAGTTTACAATCTTTAAAAAACGAAAGATTCGATCACTTCAAGTGTTTGTGTGACACTGATACTCTGAATGGTCTAGTGCCTTGGCCCTCAAAGCAAGATCCCCAGACCCACAGCCATCAGCATCCCCTGGGAACTTGCCCCTGCCCCAGTTCTGGCATGCTGCCCAGCAATTTGTATTTTCATATGCCCTCCAGGGAATTTTAAAGCATGTTGAAATTTGAGAACTCTAAAGCAATTTGGATTCTCCAAAGCATTCGTTTTTTCAGCAGATATTACCGTGTACACTTCAGTGGGTTTAGTATGTTCGCAAAGTTGTGCCACCATCACTACAATCTAATTCCACAAAATTTTTATCACCCCAGTAGGAAACCCAGTGCCCAAGTGGTCATTCCCTATTCTCCCCTCCCCCAGCCCCTGGCAGCCACTAATCTACTTTCTGTCTGTATAGATTTGCTTATCCTGGACATTTCAAATAAATGGAATCATATAATATGTGGTATGTTGTGACTGGCTTCCTTTCACTTAACATTTTCAAGTGTCATGCATGTTTTAGCATCTATCAGAACTTCATTCCTCTTTATGGTGGAATAATAACCCATTGTATGGATATGCCACTTTCTGTTATCCATTCATCAGTTGGACATTTGGGCTGTTTCCACCTTTTAGCTATTATGAGTAATTCTGCTGTGGACATTTGTGCACAAGTTCTTGTGGGGACCCAGATTCTGATTTATTTGGGTCTGGGGTAGGGTCCGCAGTCTTGGTATCGTTCAGAAACTCCCCCAGGTGGTTCTCATGTGCAGTGAGGGCTGAGAACCACTGGTTTAGAAGCTTATTACTGAACATGTGGCCCATGGGCCTGCAGCACAACATCACCAGGGAGCTATAAATGTGGGCTCTCATGCCCACCCAGACCCGCTGAACCAGAACCCACGTTCTAACAAGATCTCTTCACATGCTCAGTGAACTGTGAGAGGCACTGGTTTAGAGAGCTGCTCTGGTCCTTATCTACCAAGCGTGATGTTGTTCCTCTGACAAAATTCACACCGAACTCCAGATATGAAATTTATTAGGGACAGCCTTTATCCCCTGCACACAATTCCATACAAAGTTGGGGACAGAGAGTGACATCTGAGCCTCCACCGTGTCCCCAGTGCCCAGCACAGTGCACGTGTAAAGCAGGTGAGATAAAGATTTATCAAATGGAAACTCCAGTGAGCGCCTGAACCCTGCAGGATGTCCAGTGTGCTTTAAGTGAACCAGCACCCAAAGAGGGACGAGCTCCAGCGTCCCGGGATGGCAGCGCCTATGTGATCTTAGCACGTTAAACACACTCTCTGGATGGGGTTGTGCACGTGGCTCCTCACAGGCTGAGTGAAGATCAGATTATGTCAGCACTGGGGGTGGTAACTGGGACCAGTTGAGTCGTGTCCGCTCCCCAACCCAAGAACCTGGAAAGAAAAATAGGTATTGGTCTCTGAGAGTTAAACTCTCAAATAAACACAGAAGAATCTGTAGACATCTGCAAAGTTACTTTAGTCAGAAACAGGAGGCCCGGGCCTGAGCCTTGACTGAGAGGATCAACCTGGCAGAGAAAGACGAGGAAATCTGAGGAGGGCTCAAGCAGTGTGGAAGACAGAAGGGGCAGTGACGGAGGAGCCAGGGGGTGCTGACTGGCCTGTCCCTCCCCTGGCTGAATCACGTATTTTTTGTTTGGTGCTACAGTGTTTTCAAAAACAAAATTTGTTGCAACATTTAAAAGTCAAAGGATTTCACTTCTAAATCCTGTTTCTTTGTTTTTCTGGAAAAGCTAGACGCCTTTGGCCTGCCTTTCTACAGCGATCCTGGGCTGCAGCTGGGTGGGACGACCCCTTCACAGGGGCCAGTGCTCTCCATCCTGCCTCCTGACCCCCTCAGCCCGCCCATTTCACTCATTATCAGGTCTGCCTGGCTCTGTGGGCATCTGAGTTTGTGTCCCTGGAGAGGGGAGAGGACGTTAAACAGATGACAGCTCTAGCTGTGAAGACACTGGCTTCTGGCCACATAACAAAGTCTTTCTGACATTGACTAGTGTGAGTCTGTCTGCCCCTAAGACTGGTCCCCATCTGACTGAGTCCCTTCCTGACTCTCCATTTCACACAGAGCCTGGGCAGCATGTACCTGAGGTGCGGGTGGTGGTGACAGTGGCTGTGGTTGTCATCATGTGGGAGTTCCTGCCAGGGACAGTGGCTGCTGGGCCCTGTGGCTTTCCTTGGTCCTTCTCGTGTCTCTTTGGAAAGGGCTAGCCACTAGCTTTGGAAGCTGCCACAGACACTTCAGATTTTCTGTATTCCGAGGGCCCCTCTCAGGTTCCTCTGCTTGCCCTCCGAGAGGCTTGGCATGTCTCGGCCACTCCTCGGAGCTGGGTAGGGCTCTGGAGACCCAGGTGGATAGGCACGAACAAACCTTCCTCTTCTTCCAGTCCTCAGCCAAAACCGAGGGCAACTCTTTCCCCTTTTGTATTGCAGGTACCACCTCTTCCTGCAAATTAAAACAGACATTGTCCACAGCCAACTGCTCTGCTCCTTTTCAGGTGCTGCCTCCCTGGGTGCCTGTATCCTTCAAGGTGAGTGTGGCCGTGGCTGCCCACCCCCACCATTGCACTGGACTGTAGAGCTCTGGCTGTTCAGCCTCCCTCCTGCCCGACCTGTGCCCATCCTGCCCGTGTCCATCATTTGAGGCCAGGCAGGGCTGGGGACTTAGCAGCAGAGCCCTACTCACCTTCCCTCTGAAGCCAGTGGGGTCCTGGGGAAGGCTGAGCTGGGATGGTCACAGGGGCCTCTGCAAGAGCAAGGGGGCCTCAAGGCCCCGTGGTGGAGCTCAGAGTCTCTCTTTCAAATGGGATGGAATGTGTGACTTTATAAGAAGCTCTGAAGGGACATGGGGTGTTTTGTGCTCTGAGCTCCAGCCGTCAGCTGTGGGCCTAATGGGTATATTGATGAGGGAAAGTATGTCCAGGGAGATAGGTGTCAAACAGGTGTCATTTCAGACATTTGAAATGAAGTGTCAAAGCATTTATATATATCTTCATAGGTGTAGTATGTGTACATATGTGTACATGGACACTGTGTTTCATTCTTCAGCTTTTCTAGCCACCCGGCTTGGAGAGGAGAGCACCGGGTCACAGTCTGTTGTATCTCGGTTTGAAGCTTACTTCTCATTTCCTGGTGATTTCACAGCAGACAAATTACTTAAGCTCCTAAGTTTCAGATTCTTCATATATTAAATGGAGTGATCCTACCTCCTTCACTGCCATGTGAAGATTTCGTGAGGCTTATTTTCAGGGTTCAATGAGCCCAGAGGGTGGGGCAGTGGGAAACAGCAACTGTCTATGACCCAGGGTGGGCTTCTGGATGTTTCCACCTGTAAGAAAAAGCTGTTTAATGGAAAAGCCGGAGGCAGTGCATTACCATGAGGATGGCCCATATGTACAGTACTGTACGTGTATTTCCTTTATAGTTGAATCTCCATCAAAATACCCAAAAGATGTCAGTCGATAAATATTAATATATCTCTTACCCTCAATTAGGTATTTACATTTTCAAAGATGGCTCTTTTTTAATTAATTATTTATTTATTTATTGCAGTAAGATTGGATTATAACATTATATAATTTTCAGGTGTACATCGGAACATATTTCAAATTCTGTGTAGATTACATCATGTTTACCACCCAAAGACTAATTACAATCCACCAAAGAGGGCTCTTAAAGACCAAACGGTCTTTAATGCTCAAGTAATGATTCTGTAACAGTAAAACTTGAAGCATCATGAGTAATCCAACAACTTTACTGGACAAGGGAAGCAGTTTCTTCTGAAACTAACCCTGACTATTACCTTCCCAAACACTTAAGAAACAGTCTTTGTCGATTAAGATAGTAGTGGCTTACCAGCTGTCCAGTCACCAAATCAAACATGTTTCTCACCATTTTAACACAATACAAATTGTTGTGTCATTATAAGCTTATCCAGTGGATTTAGTTAACTAAGTTTCTTCTAAGTGAGTTTACACAAAGCCTCACTCTTGAGAATCTCAAATAAAACAAGAAACGCACATCTCTTGGTCACCCACTCTAGTTATTGTATGGTGCTAGATGCTGGGAACACTAAGAAATATAAGACAAGAAGACACGGTTCCTGTCCTGAAGGAGTTTGCATGGTCAAAACAAAAATAAGTAGTAAAGCAAATCATCATGTGGCCAGTATAAATCTCCCCAACAATGCAGTAACACACTCACCAGAATTACTGGTTTCCCACTGCATTTAGAATAAAGACAAGACTTCTTCACAGGCCCTCTGAAAACCCATATGCCCTATGTGACAGCCTTTCTCTGCCATAAGTCCACTTGCTCTCTCTGCTCCAGAGATACTACCCATGTCTCAGTCCCTTATTCTTACCATATGCCCTCCCACCCCAGGGCCTTTGAACAGGCCTTTTCCTGAGCCTAGAAGGCTCTTCATTGCCCTTTCTCTCTAGAGAATTCCTTTTCACAATCAAAACTCAGATCAGTTGTTACCTCCCACCCCCATTATATGCTTTCATTGCCCTCATATGCCTATCCTTCTTGGTATTTTTCACTTTAGCAAATCCTTTACTCATTACATAATTATTTAATTAATATAGTTCTCTCTACTCAAAGCTCCATGAGGTAAGGATCATGTCTATTGTTTGCTTGTCACTGAATCACTAATGCTTAGCCTATAATAGGGCCTCAATAGATATTTGTCTGAATAAACAGGTGATTGAATGAATATGTGGACTTATATAAATAAGTTAATCCATATCTTTTTTTATTTGATAATAATCATTTAATATATAGTTATTAAAAGTTTCAAGTTCACTCAGCAAATATTTATAAAATCCCTGCCATGTACCCGGCACTCTGCTGGCACTTACCATACAGATGAAGACACTGTCCCTGTCCTTGCTGCCCCCTGAAAGAGACAGATGAGTAAACAAATAATTACGACATGATACACATTGTAGGTAAGAGATATCCAGAGTGCGATGAGAGCACAGAGGCAAGAATTAACTCTGCCTCGGGAAGCGGCAAAAGACAGACTTCTAAGGAGGTGGCCTTTGAGCTCTTGAAGAAGAAATAGAAGTGCAATAGGCAAACTAGTGAGAGAAGCCATTCCATGCAGAAGATGGAATGTGAAAAAAGTCAACCGTTTTGAAGAGCTTGCTACATCCTGGAAGAGCGGATAGTGAGGCACCACTGTGCCCGAGAGTGTGTGGGAAGGGAATGACTTGAGATGGGGTGGAAACTGTGGGCTGAGGTGAAGAGACGAGGACACGATAAATCTGAGGTTAGAACAACACACCCAAGTGGGACTGAAAGGCAGTTAGTGGGACGTACAGAATAAAGGTTGGGAAGGTGATCAGAAAGAGAGAAAAGCCTTCACGGGAATCATGGGAGATGCGTGGGAATTAGGGACTCCCATCTCTGGTCTCCTTTTCAAAATCATACTTCATAGTACAGTGTGTCCCACACTTCCCTAAGGACAACAGTCACATGACTGTTAAAATGCATATTCCAGGGACATATCCCAACCCCCCTGAATCAGCATCCCCAAAGGAGAAGCCTGGAAATCTAATGTTTAACCAAGACCCCAGGTAACTCTTAGTATCAGGGAAGCTGGAGAAACATTTCCAAAGGGAACTCCCATTCCTCCCTCAGGTGAGCTCAGCATCCTTTCCCAGCTCTGTCTGTTCACCTGTCAGGGATGCGGCTGTCCAAGAAAACATTAACTTCCATTAACAACTTACATAATGACCTTTTCCCCTAATATAATGATCAAACACAACTGTGCCACCACAGGGAAAATAAGGGGTAGACAGCATATCTTCGGATAACTGCACATACTACCGGAGGAAAATTTCAGCCATTTATGCTCAAAAGGTAGGGAAACTGGATGCTGTGCAGAAGGAAGAATGCCCATGAACTTCCTCCATGTGTGCAGAGGCTGTGGGTGATTTGTTAGGTCTCTACATCCATTTGCTTCTCCCCAAGTGACTAACTATCAATTAAATCACCAGTTGAGGTCCCAAGAGATGTGTTGCCGACTACAGAACAAATGAAATTCTTTCAGCATTTAGTTGTTGGGCTTTTCACTGACAGAGAATGCAGAAAGGATGTATACACATCACACAGCCATTCTGAGTTTGTCTCACCCCCTCTTGAGCAACTAAAGTCCTTGAGCAACGAAAGACTCGAGAAGCCAGTGTGATAGAGCACGCGAAAGGAACTGGCAAAGGCGTAGTAGACTGAACCTGGCGTCAGTTTTCCTTCATTTCTATTCTGCCAGCTTGGCAGAAGTTTATGTCAGATTAGCCATCGTTCTTTGAGACTATTTCAGCTCTGGTTCACCTGTAATTTTTCCTTTATCTTCAAGCAAGTTTAATATTAAAGGTTTGTTTCCCTTTAAATTCCAAAGCCCTTATTCTGTGTGAATGAGACAGTGAGGTTCAGCTGTGGGCATTTTAGTTTTGATCCTTTACTATGTGCGCATAACAGAAACTATAAATGTATTCATATTCAGAAGCTATGAATGTGTTGTCTTTTAATGACTGTTTGCTTTAATTCAGTTTAAATTACTCAAATGCAACAAAAGTGTTATCAGTTGAGATTATTTCTGTGGCAAGTAACAGAAAAGCTATTCAACTGGCTTAAACAATTAAAGGAATTTACTGGCTCCTGTAACTGAGAAGTCCATAGAATTTTCATGGCTTGGTCCAGGCATGGTTTGGTCCAGGCACTGGCTCAATTTTTCTGCAGTTCTCTCAGTTCTGTGTGCCTTCAGATGTTGGCTTTGTTCTTGGGCTGGCCTCATAAAATGACTGCCTTTAGCATTCATGGTGGCTTTGTATTCGTATCCAAGGGCAAAGCAAAGGCCAAGGCCAGCTTGTAGAACCATCATACAAAAGTCCCAAGCCTCGCTCTGATTGGACCACTCGGATACACCCTCTGTAGCTACGGGCATGTTATGCTCTGATTGGCTTACACTGTGTCGATCACTATGACAAGAAAATGGGATTATTCTGAGTGGCTTAGACCAAGCAGGGGCCCTACTCTGGATCTGAAGATAAGTTTCACCCCTCCTAAAGTTCACGGTTGTCACTCAAGGAAGCTGAAATGGATGTTAGAGGAACAATTTCAGTGTCTGCTTCAATTAAACAATATTTTTAGCAATTTCAATTTAGTACAGTGTTCCTAAATGCCTATTTTTCTTTTGGAAATTATTGTTTATTTCACTACATTGAACTCTTTCCAAATGCAACATACTTTAGCACCCAAGGCAATCGATTGGCGTGAGAGTCATCTAACACAAGACAAGACGTTAGCAAGAATTTCAGGACATCCAGGTCAGTGGTGGTCTTATTTCTTATTCTTTCTCTCTCTCCACTTTCCCTTATTTTTCTCTCCCTCTATTTTCTGGCTAGCTTTTCCTTTTTCTCACTTCTTTCCTTCCATCTACAGTCCTCTTTTTCTTTTCTTAATATGCCTTTTAATATATGCAAACACAACAGGATGTGAGATTAGACATTTCCTCACATCTCACAATTTTAGCTAAAGACTCAAAGCCTTTGAAACAGGTGACAGTATCCTCCTAGGGAGACACTAGACACAGCCTCCCAGGAATTATTAAAAGGGGCCAAACACGCCCAGTCCCGTTGCCTAGTGGTTAAATTCAGAACACTCTGTTTTGGTGATCCGGGTTCAATTCCTGGGCACAGACCTACACCACTCATCGGCAGCCATGATGTGGTGGGGTCCCACATACAAAATAGAGGAAGACTCTCACAGATTTTAGGTCAGGGTGAATCTCCTTCAAAAAAAAAAAAAAAAGGGAGGTGAGGAAGACAAAGTCCTAAAGAAAAGTTAGTTGTGGGAACATTTTTTTTAAAGTTATACCACATTTTAATGTAAAGAAAAAAGCTATTTCCTAACTGTACCCTACTGAATTCAGTTTATGTAATAAACTTACTATATGAATACAAAGCATCATGTATGTATCTTCAACATACTTTCTGTGAACACACCTAAATAATGCATCAGTCCTGTCCTGCAGGAAACAGGGAATGTTCAAAGAGAGTGACTGAGGAGTTTACACAGATGTGGGCAGGGCTAAGGGGTAAGGAACCAAGCAAAGATGGTGAATCCCTGAGCTAGCAACAACTGGGAGACCTTAGCACCCCTTTGCCTGCAGGGAGACAGGCGAGGGAGTGGCTGCCCTAGCCCAGAGAGGGATGGAGCTGAGCTTCTCTCTGATCTGCTGGCACCTCAGACATCAGGCGGCAAGGAAGGTGCTGAACACAGAGCAGGATGGAGACGGGTGAAAAGCCCATTGGGGTTGGCAAGTGGCAGATGTTCAGCACATATAATATATTTCAATTTCTAAATTCTGACAAATATAATTGTAATTGATATGTAGATGACTCAAATTACATAAGACTGATGATAAAGTAGAATTTCCCCATTGAGTCTCCTGGCAAAAATGGAATTATATTCCTCAAGGAGAAAAAATTAACCTCAGGCCAATGAAATTAGCCTTAAGAGTATAAATAATGGATTTACACAGAAATAGTATTCACCGAAAATGAATACAGAGAATCATATGATAAAAATTAATCACCCAAACAAATCTGCAAATAAAAATGCTGAAAACGAAAGCTGAAGAAACAGCAACCCCATGTGAGCTCAGAAATGGAGGCCACAGCCTCAGCCCACCTCACCCACATGGACACGTCTGCACGGACCATTAAAGTACTGGCTCTTTTCACATCTTTGTTAAGACAGACCCTCAATGCTGTATTTGTTGACATCTGAAGTCTAAAATCATGACAAAATTGTCTATACTCCTAGGAAAACAGAAATCTTAGTCCTTATTAATATCTCAAAGAATCACTGTTTGCATTCTTATTTTGTGAATTTAAAATGGGCCACTTAAACTTTCCAGGTCTTTGTTCTTCTCACTGATGAGATAGGGAAGTGCGATTTGTTCAACTCTGTCCCCAACCTGCCCCCTAGTTAGTTCCCACATTCCAATCATCTCAGTCTCTGTCTCTTTCTAAATTCAACTCAGCACAGAATTTTGTGTTCCGCTATTGCTCTGGAAAAGTTTCTTCCCTGTCCCCACAACACACACACACACACACACACATGCACACACACTTGCAACACACTCCCACTCCTATCACTGTCCAAGGAAATCCTTCAAGGTCTAGTTTAAATGTTAATATCTTCTCTCAAACCCTCGCTAATCTCGCCCTGTACCCCACTCCCCACCCCCAGTCTGGCCAATACAATTGAACATCCTCTCTCCCCTGCTCACCTAGCACTCAGTCTCCAAACTGCAGAATGGTCCTCATCCCCTTACAGTTAGCTGTTCTGGTGAACATCTTCCCGTTAGATTGTTCGATCTTGGAGGAAGAAACAGTGCCATTTATCTCTGTATCTCCAGCAGCAGAGGAAGAAGGTTCATAATTTATGCTGAAAGAAGGGGAAAAAATATCTGAAAAGGTTTTCAAGGTGTCTTAAAGGTTTTGTAAGCAATAGAAATAACCCCCACGCCCTCCCCTCTGCTCCACTGTTATATCGGGGCCAAGCCACAAGGAGACAGATGGTGGACATCTGGGCTGCCCGCTTCGAAACTGGCTTCCCGCTTGACCCAGAAATCAGGTCAAGGCCCAGAATCCCTTTAAGATAAATATAAGAGCAATGTGTAATAAATTAAAACCTCCTTTTCCCACTTAACTCTTAGCCAAGTTCTATAGGTCAAGTTAAAATGCGAAGTAGTCAGGAATACAGACACAACATTTGGTTTTTATAATGGCACAAGTACCCCCCTGTGCTGCTGTCAAGACATCCAGTGCCATTCAGGTTTGGAGGACCACCTTGCACATTTGGGATACTTCTAAATCAAGCAGTGAAAGGCTATCCTGTGTAAATTTAACACCTTCATGGCAAATTTGTTTAGGGCTTCCATGTGCCAGATGATACTTTTGATTCCTAATTGGGGAAGCAAAATTGAGGCAAGATGATCATACCAGTGGAAGATGGAACGGGTCTAGCATTGTCGTAGGTTGGCTCAGTTAGCAGGAAGAGATATAATGAGTGTAGTTCTACCTTGCATCCAGACGAAGCCTAGGGTGCATCGTCCAATCCATCCAGGTGGCAGCCAAGGCCATACGTTGGAGCCACGAAGCCACTGAGTGCCATTAGGGGCTAACCAATGTACGCTGGACCATCTATCCCAGTGAGTCCCAAACCATAGTATTTTTTTTTAAGGCTATGATATAAGAAGATATATAGCTGGGAATTTGTCCCATACGTTGGGTGCTATTAGGCCACGTATCACAAGTGTGATTGGTTTGTTCCCAAAACAGAGTGGCCTTTTGACTCAGTTGACCACTAGTAGGAGTGAGCCAAATATATTCATCCCAAATTTGATATAATCTATCCTGCGTGTATTGGTAGGTTGGGGACTTTACCTTTGGAACTCACTGTTTGTGATCCACCTGTGACAATGAGAATTTAGTTAGTATTTGGGCAGTAGAGTTGAAGGAAAAGGTGTGATTGTGGCCAGGGACCTTCCAGGTACCAGAGACTGACAGCCACAGGGAGACGTTATGATTAGTAAAAGATGAATCTTGTAGAAGAGAAGAGCTAGAATCTAATACCCATGAATGTGTACTATAGCTTCTACTGAAACATAATCTTTCTCTCTAAAATCACCCTCATTTTTACAAAAGATAGTTAAATTAAGATTAACTGGTTTGCAAAAGAAGTGTAGCTTCAATAAAACTTAGTCCAATTATTTACGTAAGTGCAACAAGAATAGCAATTGATCATACAAGCTTTTTAAAATCTGCTTTGCTGGAACTTTTTATGTAACCTCAGATTGAACTTTAAAGGCCTCTCAAGGCCAGAAAAGCCCAGCCAAGGACTTGCCATCAGATTTTGCCTGAAGTACCTACAGATTTGTGTGAGTTTCTCTTTTCGAGGTCCCCTAAAATGTTTCGAGGTTCCTTGCACCTGCCAGATAAGTGAGCTTCCTTACTTACCAGGTAAGATTGCTGGAATCTCTGTAAACAAGGTGCCAGGCCAATATTTACAAGTGGCTTTATTCCAGAAAGTCCAATCTGTGTTCCTGAAAAGCTGTCTTGTCATATCTGAGCCTGTATGTTTCTCTCAAATACGACATTCCAGTCAAAGCCTTGGTAATATAACCAATGTGTCCTGTTACAAGAAGAACAGATTCTTATTGAAGTTCTGCAAATAACTATATTGCCACAAAATAACCATCCTCACTCACAAAGAGTTTCCAAATTCTGGAGGGAACAGGTAGGGAGAAAAAGATAAATGTTTCAGTTCTGCTCATAAAGGTATAATTTCACCAAATTGCTGTAAGTCATAGTTAGCATAAGAGAAAAGAGAAAAAGATTTCCTTAAATCTGAGAAAACAAAACATCAAAAAAATCAACAATATTTCAAACAAAAGTCATAAAAATTATAATCATCCTCATCAGTTCATACAGTCCTGTATAATTGGTTCTTGATCTTCATCTTCTGTTAGCAGTTTTATGAGGCCATCGGTTTCTCCGTTAGAATTCTGTAATTTCTTACCCAGTTCAGTTTTATGATCTGAAAGTTGATCAGAAACTTGTATTCTAGAATCCTGTGTCAGAATCCTTTCCATGAATTTCTCTGGAGATGAAACATACATGCAAAAGCAAAAAGCATCAGAGTAAAACAACTATCTGCAAATGACAAAAGACTCAAAAGGGCAATTGACAAAGAAACTTGGCTACTTCTGTGACATACAACACTTCAAGATAATAACTGGAATTATGACTGCTAACCAAGACAGATCAGAATTTTAGGAATGTTAGATAATTTTAAAACACCTATATCAACAGCATTCTCCCACATAATACCACCTAAAAAAAGTTATAATCACTTATTTAGCAATGCTTCCCATGTAATTTAGTAGACCAAATAAACCTAATTAGTTTAATATTTTCCTCCTTATAGGAAGAGAGAACAAACTTCTTTGAGAAGTCTCAGGGGCCCTCTGAAAATCCTCAGAGAAATTTTCTTCCTTCTACCAGGTCAAAAGAAAGCCTTCATTCAGGATTTGAATTTTTTTTGAGGGAGAAGCTTGTCAAAAATATCAAAAGTTTTAAAACATTTGTTCAAATAGGAAAAAAATGCTCACTGTGAAACATGCTCAGTATATATTCAAAATGACAACAGAAACAGTCAAAAAATCTGAGAGAGAAATCAGCCCTTCTGAACATAGGAAATTATTTTAACAAAACATAGTTTTTCTGTCTTTTAGGTAGACTTAGAGGTAAAGGAAAACCTTTTATCACCTCTTTATCAAGAGCAGACCAAAAGTTCAAGAAAATTATCCTTTTGAGAGATAAAACCAAATTTTAATTTCTGTACCAGCTTATTAAAACTCAATTACTTAATTGAATTTACCTTAATCTTAGCCAACTTGACCAGGCATAAAACTCCCTTCTGAATTTCTCTTTCACAACTTTCTTTTTACATTCAGAATTTATCCCATGCTTTCTTTCTTCCCTTCTAGTAATTTAGGACAAATTTATCTTTCTTAACACAACAAACAAAAATCCTTCCATTCTTTATAGCTTCTTTACTGAAAACATACATTTTACTTTCCTTCAATGCAGAGCTGTTTTCCTTATTAATTTCCAGTAGATTTAATTACATATATTAATTATAATTTTAGACTCTAGTAAAAACTAAAATGGCAAGCAATTACAAACTTTTATATCAGCATTCTAAGCACTTTTCATAATTTCTAGAAACATGCCACTTCACAGTAGTAAAACACAGGTATGTTTGCTAGTAGACCCAAACATGCTTTAGCCTCTCTAGAATAAGAAGCCAAAAGCAGATAACTTAGATAGATTTAGCAACAATGTTTCAGAGTTCTATCCCATCCAAAACTGACCCAGCTACTCAACAGATTTTTATCATTTCACTTAACTTAGCAAAAGTCTAAAATTTTAAGTTACCAAAAAAAATTTGGAAGCTGTTTTTTTCCCCAGGTATACAGACCATAAAACATAATTATTGCACCCAAAAACTCTTACGCATTTTCATCTATCCAAACTATTTGTTTCCAACAATTATGTTCAGATTACCCATGAAAATTTCATGAGATATTAGACAAAATTAGCTATCATTTAAAGCTGTTATTTTTCTGATGAATTTCTAACAGACAACATGAGCTTATTTGACACATAAACCCAGGCTACATGTCTGCCTCATATCCAAATACCCACCTCTCTGAGCTGAAGCCTATTTCAATCAAATCAACAAACTTAAACAAGCTTTTGTTTACCAAGGATTAATTTATATCACGTTAACTTGAAAGACATTGGGTTAATTTCTATCACATTTTGAATTTATGTAAGCTCTTACTTTAAGCCAATTAAACAGAGCTCTTAAATTTGGCCATACCATCCAGAAGTAAAATATCACACATATATAAAATACATATAGACACACATACACAGAGTCTCCACAGCTGTTGCTTAAAAATTACTGCCAAGAATCAGATACAGTAATACAAAGCTCAGCAGTTATGAATCCAAATTTTGTTTTAAGCCTCTTTACCAATATTTGTGAAGATACTCAAGATGCTATATTTTTGGCAAGGGCACACTTATGGCCATTTTTTCCTTTTTCCCTTTTTTCTTCTCTCAGTCTTAGGAATTAGTGATGGGCTAGATAGTCCCCAGAGGATTTGCAAGCTCTTTGAGATAAGGGAAAGGAGTGGAACCTGAACCACCTCTAGAGCTGCTTTTCCAGCCTTACAAGGATTTTCCAAGGACAGTTGCTCTGGATTTCTCAGAAATTGGGTTGTAACTCAGATGACATTATAGGTTGATCTACCTGTCCAACTACATCATAAAGGCACAGAGAAACCCCTCACCCCTCAAGTTTTCTCCAAGATGGAGTTTCTGGGGCAAACTCCATTCAGTTGAAAGTGTTTCCAAATAGTTAAAATGCACCCGAGGGGTGAGTCTCTGGGGATGTTTGGGGCATTCCCTATGGTGGTAAAGCCGGTGTCTAACCGACAGTGCCTGGAGAAGGGTGCAGAGCCTGACTGCACATGTCAATGTGGTTATAAGATTTAGTCAAGTCCTACTCAACCAGGGCACTTAGTCCCTAAGCCAGCACAAGGCAAGCCAGGGAAGCAAGAGGAAAAGGCCTGGAACTGGCTGGGGTCTGGGGCTCCCAGCGCCGGGGTAGAGAGTTAAGTCCCTGGCAAAAGATTTTCAAGTTTTCGATCTTACAGAAGGTCCAGGTTTTGTTCAGGTCCAGCCTGAACTTAACATCAACTTGGTGACAACAGAGGAAGTGACGAATGAAACAGGCAAAGAAAGGGAAAGAAGAGATCAGGCCTCTCCCTCATAGCCTCTTCTCAAGGGTTATCAAGATAAGAGTCACACAACAGTTTCATGCTGGGGCACAAAACCCCAGCAGGACAGCTCACAGAATGAATCACAGGTTTCCTATCTGCATAACCTATGCAGTAGGTGACTAAAATCCTCAGAGTCAGCTGCAAAGAGAGGGCACCCTACTTAGGGTCTCCCGGGTGATCAGGCCCGGAAACCAGAGGAGGGGCTCTCAGGGATGGAGCCTTTGACTCTTTTAAATATTTCTTTGTTTCTTGGTTGCAAAGCTTAAAAGGAGGCCAAAATGGCCACTGTAACTTTAAGAGAGATGAAAGAAAAGGGTCCATTATCTTGAAATCCCCCCTGAACCTATGGCAGCATCCTACCTGTTGTTCCTCCTGTGGGGTTTCTATAGCAAGGGGTGATGGGGCATCTCCCTGCATCGCACATCTTGTGTACCTTCCCTATTATGCCTGGCAGTAATAGGTGCCTGTTGAATGGTCCCAGAGATATAAGAATAGAGAAAAACAGTGAAAAATTTTCTGCGGGTCTGGGGGATATTCTACCCATTTTCATCCCGGAGCCATTCTCCCAAGAAGGGGTTTCCATACTCAACCAAAGGTTACAGTTTGGTACTTTCCTTGAACCAGAGTCCCAGTTGAGACTTTCCCGTGGTTCGGAGTGTGCTCAGGAACCATAGGGAGGTATACCAATCCAGCCTCAGAAAAAGAAACCTGCTGTGGGAGTCTTGGAGCTTGGTGACCGTCCTAATGACTTAAGTGATTGACCCGTGCCCATATAAAATTTATGTATTGGAGAGAGGTTTAGGAAGCAATGGATTAATTCGTTCTTCATCACCCCCAGGCTTAAGGTACTGATTCTCTTTGGGCTGAATGCCATGGTTTGCCACATACAGTAGCCATGAGCAGCATATGTGGATTCATATGGCTGTCTGAAAAGGTTTCCAATGAAGAAATGAATTTAGATTCATCCTTGAAAAAGAGGAAGGCACAACGAAGAAAAGGGCACTTACCAGAAGTTAAGCTCTGTGTGAGAGGCATTGTTCTAGGCCAGGACCAGCAAACAGGATTCATCTCTAACCACCTGGGAGTGACTTCTTGTAGAAAGGGTAGAGAGGTTCCTGAGAGGGCTCACTGGGACTGAGTACAGTCCTGGGCTCATGGTGTCTGTCATAGACAGATGAATGGGTGACGTGCCATAAGGTGTTGCAGGAGAGCATAGCAACATTATTGCAAGGCTTTAAGCTTAGCAAGAACAAATTACAAAATGGGTGACTGAGAAATATACAACTTGCTGATTCTCATAACTTACTGTTTTAGATTGTTTGTGCTTTTCAATCGAAGGTAGTATCTTATCAAACATGAAGGCAAGGGGCTTAAGAACGCTGGGCCCTTGCAGGAACAGAACACCGTCTGCATAACTAGCCAGATTGTTTGTTCCCAGGATACTCCCTCAGAGAATGGCCTTGTGTAGGGCAGGGGTACATTGAAGGGGAGAAGATTAGAACTGCTGAGCTTTGACTTGCATATTCCTGCTGGCATGAGTTCCTACTATGCTTGTACTTTTTGGCCTGCAAATAAATACATTGCGATCAGAGGGATGTCACCTCAGTCCTAGAGGCTGATGGTCCCCTGTCCCATTAAATAATATACAGTGTGTTGTGTCTATTATATAGACGTGTT